CTGCTCACGCTGTCTCTCTCTCTCTCTCTCTCTCCTAGAAATAAATTAAAAAAAAAACATTAAAAAAAAATTAAAAAAAAAACGGTTTTTAACTTAAAAGTGTCAAGATATCTCTGTGACAGTCTCATAACCTCATTTGCACATAATTTCAAAAGTCTGAATCTGAGGGCTTCGCAAATATTAGGTCGGCCAAGGCTCCCGGCTGGCCCCACTCCAACCTGGGCTCTGTTTCTGAGCAATTCTTGTTTGAAATCAAGAGGTCTGTGTTATTCCTGTTCACAGCAGCACCATCTCTTAAAACCAGTCCTGACCTGCTGCTTTACCTTTCTGTGCATGGTGGTAACGGCAGCTTGTGCTCCAAGCCACCTTGCAGTCTGAGAGGCTGGGCCTGCGAGGTGCGGAGGGGACACCGGAATAAGCCTAAGGCCCCAGGGAACTCAGCCTGCTCGTCCTTGCCTTGGCTGGTGACAGATGCTCTTTAGACTCTCAACTTGGTAAACTGAGGCTCACTTGGGTTTTCTGCTCCAGAGACGCCCTGGTGACCAGTGTGGTGAATTGCATGACGAGCTTCGTTTCCGGATTTGTCATCTTCACGGTGCTCGGGTATATGGCAGAGATGAGGAACGAAGAGGTGTCTGAGGTGGCTAAAGATGCAGGTGGGAACGTGGGTTCCATTTATGTCCCTTACTCTTCTCTGAATGGCTTGGCTGCTCTCTGGATCTTTACAAATATCTAACTGTTAAATTATTTCTAAGTGTTCCCTTTAAAAATTTCCAAGGTTTTAGGGAAACTTACTGCCTTCCGTGTGCTCTGCCCTGGTGAGGATGGGGGAGCCCCCCCTGGCACCCAGGGGGGCTTGAAATAGGGCTTGGATGAGGGCTTTTGAATCCAGTGGGTTTGGGCCCAGTGATGGGTGTAAGTCTAGTAAGCAGATGATTCTTGGAATTTCCCCTTGCAGGAAAAGAAAATGTAGATGACACCGTCACTCTGTTGTATTGTGACGTTTTCATGGAAGAGGAGTGACAGATATTGAAAAAGTGGCAATGGGATCTCATGGTTGAAATCCCGGAGCTCTCCTGCCAACGTGCTTCTGTCTTTGGCCTGATGCAGAGCTCTGATCACCGCTGTACCCCAAACTAAGGGACCCCTATCTAGCTCGTGAGAAGTTGAGGACAAGTCCCTCACACTATCACACGGGACTTTAAAATAGCGGGAGGCCTTTATTCCAAAGCTTCTGTGACTCTCCTGAATCAGTTTCGCGTCTCCTACTGTTTTGGAGCTAAAGCCATCAGAGAGAGCTCAATGTAGTGAAATCTTAGAGCTCTCCGTCCCAGCCCTGTAAGAGCTCTGAGCTGTTATATGGTGGACGCTTACTCCTGTGTGCAGTTTTCCTAGACTTAGGGTCTTGGGTTTGTTTCCATTCCCCACATTGGTTGAGAGTTCACACTTTCCAGAATGGCTGCTGCTCCCTGCCTGCCTCCCAGGATGCCAGCATGGGCAAGTGGGATGGTGAGGAGCGTGAGCGAGTGTTTGGTACATGTCCAAGCCTAATTCACACATCAGGTCTTGTGACAAGAATTGTAATTGTTGGGGCGCCTGGGTGGTTTAGTCGGTGAAGCGCCTGACCCTTGATCTCGGATCATGATCTCTCACAGTTTGTGAGTTCGAGCCCCACATTGGGCCCTGCACTGATGGTTCAGAGCCTGCTTGGGATTCTGTCTCTCCTTCTCTCTGCCCCTTCCTCTCTCTCTGTCTCTCTCAAAATAAATAAACATTAAAAAAAAGAATTGTAACTGTTGGTGTGACATCTTTGCAGGGCAGGTCCCAGGGACTACCTCCTCCTCTCTCCTTCTCTATCTCAGGCCCCAGCCTCCTCTTCATCACATATGCAGAAGCCATAGCCAACATGCCCGCGTCCACATTCTTTGCCATCATCTTCTTCCTGATGCTAATCACTCTGGGCCTGGACAGCACTGTGAGTGGACGGAGAGGGAAACCTGACTCTAAGGAGGAGGAAGGGGAGGACAGGAGGAGGGGGAGCATGAGGGAGGGGGAGCTGCACCTATCCCTCCCTCCCATCCTGCCCACCCCAGGCTGCTCCCTCCTGGTGCTCTCTCAGCCCCTGTTCAGTCCTCACTGCTGCTGCTCACGGCCCTCTAGTGTGTTAGAGGATCATAATGGGCTAATGAGGTAAGGTGTCTGCACAGGCCAGGGCTCAGCATATGTGAGCTGTTATTACTGGGCACTGTCCCTTAACCGGATGGCAGTACTTACGGGCGAGAGCGAGGTCACTCTTGAGTCTCAGTGCCCTGCCGCCCCACATTCGGCTCAGCACCTTGTACTTATTAGTGTGGAGTGAGTCCCAGCTTTGAGTTGGCCTCTCTGGTGCGACCAGAGTCTCCCCCAAGAGACGTCACATAAAGAAGTCCTGTCCGGGCACTGTATTTTCTTTCCTTGATGTCATTAAGGTTCGGTTCTAAATGAGAGTGTGAAACCAGGTAATATATTTCCAGTGAAGGCTGGCGTATTGGGGGGGGGGCGGGGGGGGGCGGGATTCTGGTCATGACCAGCTTGGCCGGTCCCTCAGCAACCCTCCCTCCTGCTCACTGTCCTCGAAGGTGACAGACTTGTCCTGAGCTTCCCCTGTGACTGCCTGTGTGTCTCTCTCAGTTTGCAGGCTTGGAGGGGGTGATCACAGCTGTCATAGACGAGTTTCCGCACATCTGGTCCGAGCGCCGGGAGTGGTTTGTGCTTGGCGTGGTCATTACCTGCTTCTTGGGATCCCTGGTCACCCTGACTTTTGTGAGTACCACGGCCCTCAGCTGTGAGCCAGCCTCCTCCGGGCCAGCGGAACAGCACAAGAAGCCGTTCCTTTCCTTCCACTCCACATGGTGCCCTGGCTTTGGGGCCAAAGTAAGAGGGGTTGTCGCTGCTGTTAAAATGTCACCGAGGAGACGAAGGAAAGTTGTTTCTGGCAGCATCTGTTTGTAGAATCTGTGCATGGTATGTGGAGGTCTTAGCATTTTACATTAGACCAATTTAGATTTCAGGCTTGGCAGGGTATCTAGAGAAAAACTAAGATTTGCTCTTCCAGTCTTCAGGGCTGCATTCGTGGGATTATTGCCGTGATGGCCTCATACGCAGAATATCTGAAGGTTGGCATCTCATGTTTGTTGTGCCACCTTGTCTCCTCCAGGGAATTTGCAGTGGTGAGGAAGTCAGACCCTCTCTTGTGGTTGGTTTTGTTTTTTGGTTTTTTTGGTTTTTGTTTTTTTTTGTTTTTGGTAGCTGAGGAACATACTGTAAAATGTAATCAGATAGCACCCGCAGGCATCCTAGGCTTGCGTCCGCCTGACTCAAGGCAGATTTTGAAGATCTGAATCTTCAGGCCATGACCCCAATGTCTCTGGAGTTTGTCAGGGCTGTGGGGCCCTGAGGAGGATCCGAAGTTTGTGAATTAAGATAGAAGGCAAAGCCATGGCCAATGTGTTCAGTGGGTCTGGTGTTGTGAACTCTCCCAGGTTCAGTCTTCAGGGACCAAGATTCTTTTTTTCTTTTCTTTTCTTTCTTTTTTTTTTTTTTTTAGATTTTTTAAAAATTTATTTTACTTATTTTGAGAGAGAGAGAGAGAGAGAATGAGTGCTTGGGGAGAGAATTCCAAGTAAGCTCTGCACTGTCAGAGGCAGTGACCTGGGGCTCAAATTCATAAACCGTGAGATCATGTCCTGAGCCAAAATCAAGAGTTGGTCACTTGCCACCCAGGCTCCCTGAGAGACCAGGATTCTTTAGAGTAGAGTACACAGTAGGTATTCAGGTATTCAATTGAAAGAAGTTGAAAAAAGATCCAGGGACTCTTTCGAGTTTTTCTTAAAACTTAGTGGGAGAAAAAACAAGGAGAGAGTGCTCCACAGGACAGGCAGAGGCGGCTGATGGGGTGAAATCTGGCCCCCACAGCGAGGGCCAGTCCAAGAGGCAGGCTCTAGGATATTCATATTAGGTCCAAGGTGGGAATTTCACAGAATTAGCCTAAGTGAAGAAGTTGCTTTTGGCCTTTTTCATAAAGAGAAGGTAGTGCCTCAGAGAGCCTGTACTCAGGGTCATGATGTCGTTTGCAGGGAGGGGCGTACGTGGTGAAGCTGCTGGAGGAATATGCCACAGGCCCAGCCGTGCTCACTGTTGTACTGATAGAAGCAGTTGCCGTGTACTGGTTTTACGGTAAGATCTTCCTTCCACCAGTCACGATCGACACCAGCCTGTAGCCTCCAGAGTAGAGAAGGGCTGATGTCACTGAAGAAGATCAGGGTACCTGCCAGTGGGTCGGTAAAATGACCTCAGCGGAGTGCCTTCTTCAGAAACAGGTCACCATTTCCTCCATGCTCTGTGCCACAGATGCCCCTTACTCTTGGGAAGATGGTTTATTTGTTTCCCCTTCTGAGTCTAAATGTTCACCCAGTGGAGACAGGCTGAAGCAGTTCCATACAGCTGGTCCTCAGTGGATGCTTCAAATACTGACCATCTCTAGGAATTGAAAAATGAACTAATGCATGGCGAGTGCATTTGCAGAGCGTACAATATCCCACTGTTTTATAGAGTGGCCCCCAGTTTAAATTTTGCAAGCAAGGACTCCCTGCAAACCCCAAGATAGAGTTCAGGAGATTATCTTCCAGGGAAGAGGCAAGAATGTTCCTGTTTGGATTATCTGCCTTGGTGAAACCCCCAATTCACCCCCTCTGATCCTGGGACTGATTCTGATAAGGGTGAAACTAGCAAGAGCACAGAGAGTGAGCTAACACGGGTCCCAAGAATCCATGGGTGGGGTGGGGATGACCCAGATTCAGAGCTACCGCTCTTCCTGTTTAAAATCAAGAAATGATGATTTTATTCTGAAAATGTCACGGTGTTTTTTCCCCTAATTTCTATGGTAACAAAACAGCTTTGGCATGTTTGTTGTTATGCATAATATGAAGAAGGGGGGCCCCAAATTTTGAGTCGCACATGAGCCCAATTTTTAAAACAGAAGTCCTCCCTGCCTCCTCAGTGATTCTGAGTATGTGACTCGCGGGACGCCTGCCCCAGGTATTGCTGGGTCTCTCAGGGAAGCAGTTGCCTTGCCCCTCTCGATGTCTCACAGTACTCGCCGTCACACACCTTTTATGGAAGAACCTTGATCTTGATCTGGCATAGGAGATGGGCAATACGTGGTTAAAATTTTCTCTTGGAAGTTTCCAGCAAAGGGTTGAAGTCAGCCTCTGTCAAGTGGGTTCACGATTCCTAGAAAATTCTTTTCTCCAATGACAAAGTAAATATATGCTGAGATCTTGGAAAAGCAGTGTGGGCACCAAGCGGGGGGCGGTTAGGCCCCTCCCCAAAAGTCCGGCTGTGCTCCCACTCCTACTCCGTGTGGAAAGAACGGTGCTTGCTGTCCAGTCCAGTTTTGTGACAAGTCTGCTGTCCCACTTTCAGACCAGATGGGCGCCCCTGAGCTCCTGCTGTGGAGGAATAGAGAGCTGCTAGTGTCTCTGAGAATCAAGGGACAGGACAGCCCCTGGCCTCCCTGAGTCAATCTCTTTCTCTTTCGGGTGACTTTAGGCATCACTCAGTTCTGCAGTGATGTGAAGGAGATGCTTGGCTTCAGCCCCGGATGGTTTTGGAAGATCTGCTGGGTGGCCATCAGCCCTCTCTTTCTCCTGGTGAGTTGTCATTTCCCTTTCCTAACGGCCCTAAAGAAAGATTGACTCAAACACTTATAAAAAGTAAGTTTTATTGGCGCGTAACAGATACAGGGAAAAGTGTGCTGATCTTTAGTGTGTATCTCATTGAAATTTTGCAAATGGAGCACACTTCTGTAGCCAAAACCGTGCTAAGAAAACAAAAACGTGACCAGTACTCCTGAAGCCCCTCTGGAGCCCCCTCTCAGTCACTGTGCTCCCCAGGCTTACCGCCCTTCTGACTTCTAACACCGTAGAAAAGTCTGGGCTTCGTTCCCTGCTGCATGTGTTGTATCATTCCCCAGCTCAATGATCATGATCAATAACATGTATTGACCATTAAGTGCCAGGCCAGACCTTGTGCTGAACTTACACCCATTGCTCCATTAATCCTTCCACAATTCTGTGAAGTAGTAATAGTTCTAATACCCCGTTTTACATTTAAGAAAATTGAAGCCTTAAAGAGTCCCAGGTCACGTGACAAGTAAGACCCATTCAAGACCTGGGAAGGATTTCCTGAGCTGCTCTTGAAGGCCCTGGGAGGGGGCCTTGTAATTTTGTTTTCATTTCTTTTTTTTTTTTTAATTGTTTTTTTTAATGTTTTATTTATTTCTAGGAGAGAGAGAGAGAGAGAGAGAGACAGCGTGAGCAGGGGAGGGTCAGAGAGAGAGGGAGTCACAGACTGAAACAGGCTCCAGGCTCTGAGCTGGCATTCAGCTCAGAGCCCGACGCGGGGCTCTAACCCACGAACCGCGAGATCATGACCTAAGCGAAAGTCGGACGCTTAACCGACTAAGCCACCCAGGCGCCCCTCTTTTTCTTTTTTTAATGTTTATTTATTTTTGAGGGAAAGAGAGAGACACACACAGAATGCGAGTGGGGGAAGGACACAGAGAGAGGGAGACACGGAACCCAGAGCAGGCTCCAGGCCCTGAGCCATCAGCACAGAGCCTGATGTAGGGCTCAAACTCATGAACCTTGAGATCATGACCCAAGCCGAAGTCAGCCGCTTAAACGACCGAGCCACCCAGGTGCACCTAAAATTCATTTTCTTAAAGATGCCCCCTGCAAAAGTCCTCAAACATGGACCTGAGTCAGAAGTGGAATCCATTTATTGCAAAGGACCTGGGTGAGAACACTCAGTTCCAAGGGTTACTTACTTGCCAGGATGCATTCAGCGCTCACTCTTTCCTTAGAGCACGTGCCGCTGCTTTCCTCGTGGCATCCCCCTGAAGGAGATAACTTGCACAAAAGCGGATAAACGCCCTGCTCACATCCCCAGTGAGCGCTGAGGTAGTGTGGGGTAAAGTGACTCTGTGCACGTCAGCACAAATCACTCTCCAGTTCTTTCATTCATCTGTGACTTTATTTCGGAAGGAATGTTTTAATCTTTTAGAGCCCAAAGTTTATTGGACTGGTCCTTCCATCCGGCTCCCCCGCTTGGTAGGAGTGTCTGGGCCAAACATTTTTCCTCAGGGACATCTCTGCCTTTAGCATAGCTGTTACTTTCCGTCTTTAAAAAACAAAAACAAAACGAAAAACCATTTTGTATTCTGTTTTGACTTTCTCTGGGCAGCCCTTTGTGTGGTATCTTATACCCACACGTCTGGACAATAACATATAAGATGAATGGTATGTTCAATTCTTGCCTCTGCGGTGCTGCCTGTGTCTGTCTCTACCCCAGAATCCCTTCTTGACTTCCATTCCATTCCTTGGTTCTGGAGTTTTCCAGAACCAAAGCCAGCTGTTGTCCTGGGCAACAGATAATTCTCAGGGCCCAGTGGCTCTGGTGTGTTCCCCTAGATCTTGGCCTGGTAGTTTATTATTACCTTATCAGCTCAGTGGTGCTTTTCGGTAGATTAAAAAAAACAAAATATATATACACACACACACACACACACATATATATATGCGTATATATGTGTATATATATGTTTTTTTCCGCTATTTTCAGTGAGAGAGTTGGCACGAACCACCTAGCCTGCCATTACTAAAAGCAGAAGTTCCGACAAATGGATTATTAATTCATATTATTACCAGGGCTTTTAGATAATCTACTTAAATCCTTTCATTTGTTTTTCAAAGGAATTATTTCCTTGAGGGAAGAAACCATGTCTGTTTGTTTGTTTCCTTTAGTATTCCCCACACAGTGAGGATGATGTCCAGAGCTGCGACCTGGGAGAGGCAAGTGAGGCACTCACCACAGGCATAAAACTTAGGGTGGGGGGGCTGCCGAAAAACTCAGTAATCAGGGTAAAGACCATTTTAATATAATATATTCTAGAAACCAAAATTAATGCAAAAATGTCCCCAGTCCAGGCACCTGGGTGACTCTGTCAGTTAAGTATCTGACTTTTGTTCAGGCTATGACCTCACGGTTCAGGAGTTCAAGCCCCGCTTCGGGCTGTGTGCTGACAGCTCAGAATCTGGGAGATTCTCGTGCTCTGTTAAAAAAAAAAAAAAGTCCCCAATCAACAGATTTCATTTTATTTTATTTTATTTTATTTTTTTAAATGTTTTTATTTATTTCTAGGAGAGAGCAAGAGAGAGCGTGAGCAGGGAAGGGTCAGAGAGAGAGGGAGTCACAGACTCTGAAACAGGCTCCAGGCTCTGAGCTGGCAGTCCGCACAGAGCCCGACGCGGGGCTCGAACCCACGAACCGCGAGTACATGACCTAAGCGAAAGTCGGACGCTTAACCGACTAAGCCACCCAGGCGCCCCAACAGATTTCATTTTAAACAAACACAAGATCTGACCCTGTGCTTGCATGTCTCACCTCACCCGACTCACCCTAATGTGGTCCTGTCAGATCGTGTCTTTTTAAAATATGCACCATCATATTATTTCTTGATTACTAAAATTTACTGAAATGTTGTGCCCAAGGTGAGTGCCTCACAGGTTCCACCCTAGCCCTGGCTCCGGGTTCTCAGCATTTTAATTTCTGTCGACTGACAGACAGGGCGAGACTCGGTGTACAGTCAATGAGCTGCTGTACCCAGCAAAAGCCGTGCTCAGACCCGTGTTCAGGCACATCCCTCATAACCCCCATGATGTTTGCTTTACTCACTTCCTCTAAAGGCAAGTGCTCCAGTGCCCAGTTAAGAGGAGGCAAATCTGTCTTCCACTTCTGGGTTTACTTAGCAGATCCCTTGCCCTGGGCTTTTAAAGGATGCTTTCAGTAAACAATGAGTAGCTTATTAAAAATATCCTTTCTCACCGAGGCCAAGTTACGAAAAGAGAAAATATTGTTTACGAGCAAGGGGAGGCAGGGCCGTGCAGAGGCGTGTCTGGGGCAACACTTACGGCCCCGAGAGCTTGAGGCGCCTCTGAACTGTGCTGGATTTCACACACCTGACATCGAGATGACACCAGCGTTCCTCGCTGTGTCCAGTCCGTCTTCCCATGTTCCCAAACTAGCTGCCTTAGTAGCTGAGTCCGGGGGTGAGGAGAGTAAGTCCAGAGAGAGTTTGCAACTGGCCAGGCTCCTGTTCTGAAAGCTTCCTCCTGGACTTAGGACAACACTGTTGGAAAGATGGATGTGTGTTTAACAACTTCCCATTTTATTACCTGCAGACAAAGAAAAAAAAGATATAAATAGATGTTTAACCACACAAATAATTTACATAACTGTCTTCTTTATGACTATGAAGTAATAAAATAAAATTAAATCAAGAGCAATAGCGATTTCAGCCTCGTGGTTACTAGGCAAAAACCTGGTATTTATGCTCTCTCTGGAAACCAAACTGAAATAAGAAAACTTATAAAAGGAGTGTGGGGAGCACACGGTAGAATTTTTCTTGAGAGAAACTTTCACGGCATTTTCAAGTAAAAAATACAGTAAGCTGCTTTTTCCTTCCATTATTCCTTTCGTGACAAGGGCCTGGGGCAGGTGGGCACTCACTGTTGAGAGGCCTCAAGCCATCCTTGTTGAAACCCCAGGCTGAGGTGCTCAGTGCCGAAAGCAGAGCTCAAGAAAAGGGAAAAGAAGGAACACGCACCCAGGAGCCTGAGTCCTCTCCAGGTCTTGAGAACCTTAGTATCTCTCTGGCACAGAGGTAACTTCCTTCTGACCAAAAATAATCATAGATGAGAAATGCAGGAGGAAAAGAAGAGAAAGCAGAGAAGTATGAGGCCGTAGGATGGAAGGAGTCGTGGAGAGGTCATCCAGTTTAGTCTTCCACTGTCTGGAAAGACTGGCCCCAGACCACTCTTAATAGATGCCCGTCTCTTCCCCTTTGCCCTGAAGGGGTCGCTATAACTCTCCATAAACAACTTTCTGAATCTTGGTGTCCCTGCTTTAAGGGTTGAGGTGAGGGGTGGAGAGGAAAATCAATATAAGCACCTGGTGGTTTTACTGTTGCCGCTTAGGCACACAAATTCGTGAATCCCATGTGTCAGAGTTCAACTAGGATAGATCACCCTTGGGGAGTCTCCCGAAAAGATCTCAGCTTTAGCCTTTGGTGTTCATGGTATCAGAACTGTCCCTATCCGCACGGATGTTGTTAAGATTTTGAATGTTTCTTGGTATTTCCGTTTTAGTTCATCATTTGCAGTTTTTTGATGAGCCCACCAGAGCTACGACTTTTCCAATATAACTATCCTCAGTGGAGTATCATCCTGGGTTACTGCATAGGAACCTCATCTTTCATCTGCATCCCCACATATATAACGTATCGGCTGATCATCACTCCAGGGACGTTTAAAGAGGTAGGTGCTAGTGTGTGTGTTCAGGCTAGTAATTGTTTTGGGAGGAAAGGGTCTTCTCGTTATGCTCTGTTCAAAGGAGATGTGTCCACCACGTGAAGTTCACCTATACCATGGTGTAGACCTATGATGGCTGCCTTTGTCACCATCAAAGCTTCCCCGTAAGCCTCAGATACAGTGGTTATTCGCATGCACCCCAGCACCCAGCTTGAGGTGTGTATAGCATTCTCAATGCATCAGACGCCTACACTGCCTTTTGCTTGCCATTGGACATGGACATCAGATCTGTCATGTCTGAAGCAATACGTGAATTTTGACTTAAGTGGAGATGATGGTGAAAAATGCCTGTGGCCATTTTTCTAACAGCAGTGTGACAAGTGTTATCTTGAAAATCATCACTAAATAAGGATGTAGTAGTTTTAGCTTAAGGCATTGGAGTAAACAAAAAGTTACAATTTTTTTTCATTATTTCGTTACAGTAATGAATAATGTGCTCTAAAGTTTTAGGGGCACCTTGGAGGCTCAGTTGGTAGAGCATCTGACTCTTGATCTCGGGGTTGTGACTTGATCTCAGGGTTGTGAGTTCAAACCCCACCTTGGGGTGGAGCCTACTTTAAAGAAAAAAGAATGTGCAATAAAATTAATTTTAATAATAGAACCTTCAAATTTGCATAAGATTATATATTTTTCAAAGAATCTCCATGTATATTATCTCAAAATACCTTGTGAGCTTCTTTGTGAATACCAGAGTTGATGGTCCATAACATTCTACCTATGAGGGAGGGAGGCCTCATATGAAATTTTGGTTTAGTTAAAAAAAAAAAAGACTAAGAGAAAGGTAAATTTCTTAACTCTTTTGGGCCCTAGCCAGATCAAAGGTTGGACTTTTATATGGAATGTCTACCACTTGTTCACCTGGATTAGGTCGTCGTTGTAAAAACCTCTAGTAAACTACACAAAGATCCTGGGAAGATGTTCCCTAATAAGTAAGCATTCATGAAGGCATCAATAGTGACCTGTTTTCTTAGATTATCACCTCGCAAAAGGCCAGGGCCTGGCAAATTTTGAGAACAGTGGTAGTGTGACAAGTGGAATGCTCCCAAAGTACGGCAAGAAGTGGGCCTGGCATTTTGGGATATCAGCAACCAGAAGGGCAGCAGAATGGGTGGCTAGGGACTAGAATATAAACGCCAGAATTCTACTTTACAATGTTGTTCATTCCACTATTCAACAAAACACCTCAGTATACACCATACACCTTCTCTCCCTGCACAATGTAGCTCCACTTAAGAGTAGTTAGAATTGTTGGGGTGCCTGGGTGGCTCAGTTGGTTATATAACAGAGTCGATCTCAGCTCAGGTCATGATTCCACTGTCCTGAGATGGAGTCCCTTGCTCCCCCCCGCCCCCCCGTCGGGCTCCATGTGGAGCCTGCTTGACATTGTCTCTCTCTCTTCCTCTGCCCCTCACCTGCTTGTGTGCATTCTCTCTAAATAAATAAATAAATAAATAAATAAGAAAAGAGATTGAAGGACTGAAACTAATGTAACGTTGTGTATCAACTATACTCAAAAGAAAAAAAAAAATCAAAGGGGATTACATACGTTTTCAATCCAAAATATAAAAGACAAGAAGCAGAACTTCACCTAAAATCCGTAAATCAAAAAATGCTTTTGGATCCAATTTTGGTCATCAAAAATTTTACTACGCAACTTAATAAAGATTTTTCTAAACCTCTGAAGTGGTGCTGTTTTTCCTTCTTCACATCCCTGAGCTGCTTCATGTCACCCTGATGCTAAGTTTTACAAGGTGGGCTGTATATTTCACACCCAAGCCCAACCATATTTCAGATCTGTCTTAAAGCTTCTGTGTACTTCAGCTGTTTCTAGGCTAAAAATTCTCAACCTTTTCCCTGTAGTGAGTACTATGTCAACATGAGCTTGCTTTACGAGTAATGATTTAAATGGTCACATCTTTTTCAACTTAATTATGATAATTTGTACCCTTATATGAATAACCCATACTCCTTCACAGGTAGATTCATTAAATCAGTAACGTCCCAGCCATCACAGTGGCTGCTGGCACTGTGCACCATGCCTTGGGTGTATATGTGAGGTACAAGGAGCCTGGCTGAGGGGAGGGGGCCAGAGGCCAGCACTCACTCTGCTCCCCAAGCCTTGTGAGGCCACAGCAGGCCTCCTCTGTCCAGAGAAAACGATGCCCTTACCCAGCCAGGTCACCAAAAGCATGATAGAGGTGGGACGCTGGGTAGCTCAGTTGGTTAAGCATCCGACTTTGGCTCGGGTCACGATCTCATGGTTTGTGATTTCAAGCCCCGTTTCGGGCTCTGTGCTGACAGCTCAGAGCCTGGAGCCTGCTTCAGGATCTGTGTCTTCCTCTCTCTCTGCCCCTCCCATGCTCGTGCTCTGTCTTTCTCTGTCTCTCAATAATAGATAAACACGAAAGAAAAATTTTTAAAAAGAGTAAAAAAAAGCATGTTATAGGCCAGTGGAGGTTTTCCCATTTTCTCCCATTAGTGTTACAGTGATATTCTTAATTAGTTTACAGATGGTTATAGTTCCTGAATATATCAATTTTTTTAGTTTTATTTATTTATTTGTGTGATCTCTATACCCAATGTGGGCCTCAAGCTTATGACCCCAAGACCAAGAGTTGCTTTTCTAACTGAGCCAGCCAGGTGTTCCCTGAATATATCATTTTTATCTATATATGAGAAAAAATAAATTGGGAATTCCTTTAAAAAATTTTTTTTAATGTATGTTTATTTTGAAGAGAGAGAGCAAGTGGGGGAGGGGCAGAGGGAAAGGGTGAGACAGAATCCCAAGCAGGCCCCACCTCGTCACCACAGAGCCCGATGTGGGGCTTCAACTCATGAACCATGACATCACGACCTGAGCTGATATCAAGAGATATCAAGACACTTAACCAACTGAGCCGCCCAGGTGCCCTGGGAATTCCTTTCTTAAGGAAAGTCATTGAGACTACTCCAACTTAACTATTAAATGCCATTAACATGCTGTTTAAGTGTTTTAATATTAATGTTGAAATATTTTTGCAATACTGTTAAATTATAAGAATATTTATAACATATTTTCTTCTCAACAGCGTATTATTAAAGGTATCACTCCCGAAACACCAACAGAAATTCCCTATGGGGACATCCACTTGAATGCCATATAAAATACTTCAATGAGAGGAAAATGGCTTCCCAACAACCTCTCCTCTGGTTCTGACAAGTCCTGCCTCGCCTTCTCCCCTCTGAGTGAATGAGTTTCCAGCTAAGCCTGACAATGGAAGGGCCTTCTTCACGGAGGACAGTCCCAAAGACTATGGTGCCCAGACTCTTATGGCCTCCAACTACTTCTTTCTGTGAAATCTCCTGGACATATTATCTTGTTAGCTCTGTGACGCAGCTGACCTGGACAATTTTGGATGTGCGAGGGTGTGTATGGAGGTGATGAAAACCACCATCTAATCAGTTAGGATTAGGTTTAGAATTAAGTTTGTAAAAGTCTCATGTATCATTTCTTGTTATCATTGGTATCTGCCATGCATTTGCTTCTCAAGGTTTCACTGTTCATGAATACCTAAACCACGTAGGAGAAAACAGGGATGCTGTTTTGCTAGCCATATATTTTCTGAGTAGCATAGAATTCCATAACTGGAATCTACTAGAACCCTTCAACCTGTGTGCTGCTGTGGAGTCAGAGGAGGAGAGAAAGATGTAGAAACTAAACTGAAAAATAATGTATACATGTGAGCATGTGTGTCTGTGTATACTGTTGTTTCAGTGTATCCTTATCTCTATTCCAATCCTTTGGGCCCATTACAAGCTATATGAATTTCCTCTAAATTTTCTTACATTAACAAATTCCACCTACTCAAATGTGTATGTATGTTATTATAAGGGTATAACTGCTGCAACATGTTATGTCACCTTTTCCAACGACACTACTTTAGCCCACACACCTTCCTTTATGGGTCAGCGTTCAGCGTTTGCTCTACTTCATTGCCATCTTCCTGTCTCTGCCAGCTAAACAATCAGGATAATGTTCCACAGGCAAATCTGGCCTATTTCATCAGTGACTGTGGCTTGGCCGTGAACTACTTTGAAGTTGGATACCGACAAATGCATCTTCAGTGCTCAGTTAACTATCTGGTTTAAGCTCTGTTTCAGATGACTGTGTTACTTTGCTCTGTGAAGAGGATAAATCCAGTTCTTGCTTATAGGATATATAGGTCTGGCATCCTGACTGTAACCAAGGTCATCCTCAGTCCAGACGTAATTGGAGACTTTGGGTTAGCCTTAAATGGAACTCCCCAGACCTACCTGGTTGACAATCAGGACTGTGAGCCCTCCGGATAATTTCCAAGACTGAGCCTAAACTAAGTAAGGCTAATTGAAAAAGGGTCAGTTAAATGAATAACTTTTCATTTCACATAAAGCCTTTAAACAGATCAAGTAAATCTGACCTTCATTGGCATTATGCCTCTCAGATGCGCAAGTAAAGAAGCAAATTCACCTTGTTGTGTAAGACTTCCTCATCAAAGTCTTCAAGGGACTAAAGCCGAGTCAATGATAAAAGGACTCACTCATCTAGCCCCATATCACTTCAGTCCTCTGTATACATCTAATTTAATTCTAACCTTATAGAAAGAAGACCCATATAGCAGAGGCCTGGTTTTATCCAATTATAGATCGTCCTCTCTTGGCTTCCTTTCCCCAACAATCTCTGCCCCAGCCATTTCCCTGTGTCCCCACTACTTCTTCTATTTCTGATTCTTTGCTTCTCTCAGCAGGATATTTTCCTTAGAGATGTGAGCTGCTGAGAAGTTTCCCGAGATGTTAGAGGAAAAGAGAAGAGGAATTAAAAGATGCCCCTCACTGACCTGCCTTCATTATCTTCACTCTTTCCTTCCTTCATGCTACCTTATTTCTCTTTGCTTTCTAGCAAGCTGAAAGGAGACGGATTGTATAAGTGGCACCGTATTCAGTGGTAAATAGCTTTGCAAATTCTAGGAACTACTTTATGAAGATATTTGGATATGGATTCTTTCCTTCCCCCACACACTTATGCATGCTCCAAAGATATTATTTTTTAAAAAGCACTTTTTTAAACAGAATTAGAGTTTGGCCAAGCCAGGTATCGAGGGAATTATATAGGTGTTTTGAAATGTTGTCAGACTTCACTGGACTTAACAAAAAAAAAACAGAAACAAAAACTAAATCTCTGTTCTGCACAGTTTCCATTTCCTTGATCCCTAGTTATCAGTACTACTCTGGATTTTTTTAAAGGAAAACCTAGAAGTAGGGAGATGGACTTTAAAATAATCTTTTAAAGAACCTTTTACATTTAATGTAGTATTTACATAAAAGTAAAAAATAAAAATGGGATTGAATTGTAAAGTTAAGTACTGAAGTTTTTTGTTTTTTGGGTTTTTTTTTTTTTTGCTGTGATTTTGTTAGTAAGAAATACCTAAGAAATTGGCAAGACACAAGACAAAGGCATGGAGGCAATTAAACTGATTAAGGTTGTTTCCTATGTTAATAAGCTATGAAGCCAAAGAATTCATCCCCCCTTCCAGAAAACTGACAACCCATTGGAAATTTGTTCCATTTGTTGTGTAGAATGCATGTCATTTGTAACGTAAATTCATTGCCCTGGCTGCCCTATCTGGAGATGGATGCAAGACCCTGACAAGCAGAAAGTTGATATAATAGCTCCAAAGTCAAATCATGAAAATCGAATCAAATAATGAAATCTCAAAATAAGGCAAAAAAAGATCTTTGGTGAGATGAGTCACTCCTCACCATCCTTTTTACTAAGCTTGTTAATTTGATGATACTAATTTCAAAATGTAAGCTTAAATATGAATTTCCATTTAACTCATCTACCCCATCCCCAAGCCTTAACAGGGAAATTATTCTCCTAGAATTAGAATCATAGTCTCTCTGATATGTAGGAAAGAGCGACCTGATATGTTCTACTTGGTGTGTAGCTGATTTGGGGTTCACTGTCAAAGCAAAACTTAAAACTATGGAATGCAATGGCTTAACTGTGATGTTCTGACACATATCTTAGTGCTTAGCTACAGAATCATACAATTGAAGTCTGGTTCCTTTCTTAGCAAGTCTCTTTACTCATAAATCAACAACTGGTGCTTAAGACACCAGAATTGTTCAGAATGGTTGTCTTCATTAAACACAGCAGTAACCAGAGGACATTTTCCATCATCCCTTTTTTTCTTCTCTCTCTGTCTCTTTTTTTTTTTTTTTTTTTGGTCAGAGAAAGGTGGGGAAGAGAAGCAGTAGTTTCCCCAGAGAGACTGTTGCAACCTGTTATCCCATAAGTAATGCAATAAAAGCAAAATAGTCCCATGCTAAGTGGGAAGAGATACATAGTTTAAAATCATCATGGAACTCACACAAGGTGAGGAGCACCTGGGAGACTCCGTCAGCTAAACGTCTGACTTTAGCTCAGGTCAGGATCTCACGGTTCTTGAGTTTAAGCCCTGCATGGGGCTCCCTGCTGTCAGCGCAGAGCCCACTTCAGATCCTTGGTCTCCCTCTCTCTCTGCCTCTCTCCTGCACGTGTGCATGCTCTCTTTAATAATAAATATTAAAAAAAAATAAAACACAAGGTGACTTACACAAAAGGCTCTTAACTGAAAAGTTTAGCTTATAAAGTGCTTATTTGAGAAGGATGTTAGTGAATGAAATTTATAAATTCAAATGTGGGAAAAGAAACATTACAACAGAGAGTATCCCTAAACTGTAGAAAGCTGTTCTGTTTTACTTGAAACATTCTAGTTTTTGACTTTTTTTTCCACTGTCATAGTAAGTAAATGATCTTTATTAAAATTGGTCATAATTAGTTCCATGGATGGACTATTTCAAATCTCTTAACTTTTTCTTTACTTACTTTCCCCGCATTGCTTAACTTTCTCTAAATATTATAAGGTTCAGATAACCCACATTACCGGCAGAGCAAATCTGGTGATCTAGCTCATTTCTGTGCTCTTCTTGGGCTCTGGAAACTTCTTTTTTTTATTAAAAATGTTTAAATGTTTTATTTATTCTTGAGAGACAGAATGTGAGTGGGGGAGGGGCAGAGAGAGAGGGAGAGACAGAGATTCCAAAGCAGGCTCCTGGCTCTGAGCTGTCAGCATAGAGCCCAATGCAGGGCTTGAACTCACAAACTGTGAGATCATGACCTGAGCTGAAGTTGGAGGTTTAACTGACTGAGCCACCCAGGTGCCCTGGGTTCTGGATATTTCTAAATGAAGGTGAGGTTATTTCTTCTGCTAGAATGAAACAATACTCCTCTCAATTGTTTTAGTGAGCATTTACCACAATGGGAAAGATAAACATTTTAGGATGGAATCTCAAATGTGTCTCTCCTTCTTATTCATATTAACTGGGATCTATCTGGTATTATTTCTAAATTAGGTGTTTCAAAACAACTCACCTTTCCAAGAGTTAAAAAAAAAATAATTCACAATATATTTCAGTTGGAACTTCAGATGGTATTTCTCTTACCAACTCATCGCAATATCTATGCCAAATTCCTCTAACACCAGTGCAAGTTTGTCTTTAGTGGTCTTTTTCTTTTTTTTGTCTTGAAGCTATCAAAATAGATTGTCTTGACTGGGCAACTCCAATCTGGAAACTCTGCATTGCTGGAACATCTCATCAGAAAAAAGTTTTAATGTCTGCTAAATCTTATCGCTTATGGGAAAGAATAGATTATAACAGTCCTTCAATTCTAAAATTGAAGACCCCAATTATAGTAGATAATTTATTTCTAAGAGTTTGTAAACAGTGACAGTCCAAACAAATACTTGGGGAGGAAAAGTTATCCCACCTTTATGCTAAAAAGCTAAAAAACTATGAACAAATAACAGCATTTCTATTTTTTTCTTTTGTAAAAAAATGTCATTTTGGGGGTGCCTGTCTGGCTCTGTCAGTAGAGCATGAGACTCCTGATCTCAGAGTTGTGAGTACGACTCCCACGTTGTGTGCAGAGATTTTTAAAAATAAAGTCTTGTTTTAAATGTTTTTTATTTTTTTATTTAAAAAATATTTTTTAAATGTTTTTATTTATTTATGAGAGAGAGAGAGAGTGTGAGCAGGGGAGGGTCAGAGAGAGAGGGAGACACAGAATCTGAAACAGGCTCCAGACGCTGAGCTAGGTGTCAGCACAGAGCCTGACGTGGGACTCAGACCCACGAACTGTGAGACTGTGACCTGAGCCGAAGTTGGATGCTTAACCAACTGAGCCACCCAGGCGTCCCTATTTTTATTTTTTTTAGAGAGAGAGGGACAGAGAGACTGCATGTGGGGTGAGGGGCAGAGAGGAAGACAGAGGATCCAAAGTGGGTCCTGTGCTGACAGCAGAGAGCCTGATGTAGGGGCTCAAACTCACAAACCATGAAATCATGATCTGAGCCGAAGCTGGATGCTTAGCTGACTGAGCCATCCAGGCACCCCAAGAATAAAATCTTGAAAAAAAAAAAAAAAAGGTATTTTAAAAAGAAAGATTATTCTTATTCAAACTCTAACCTATAGGTGCACCTTATCTTAAGAAAACTTGATATGTGAAAAATGCATATTTTAAAAGATAAAATTAGGGATGTAAGAATTTATAGTTATTTCTCCAATATAATTTAAATATGATTTGATTATTGCTTCTTGGCCTTTTGGCTAAGATCAAGTGTAAAATATGATTTGATTTACAAACAAGTTGTCAGGATACTTTGTGTGTTGGGCATATCAGTAAGGTGTTTCAAGGGGCGCCTGGGTGGCTCAGTTGGTTAAGTGTCCAACTTTGGCTCAGGTCATGATCTCACAGTTCATGGGTTCGAGCCCCACATCGGGCTCTGCGCTGATGGCTAGTTCAAAGCCTGGAAACTGCTTCAGATTCTGTGTCTCCTTCTCTTTCTGATCCTCCCCTGCTCACACTGTCTCTCTTTCTCTCTCTCTCAGAAATAAATAAAACATTAAAAAAAAAGGTAAGGTGTTTCGAATTCTAGAATATGATCAACTGAGTTATATACAAATGGTATTTCTTTCCCCTCATCTTTACTTTCATCTCCCACATTACCTACAGCTAAAATTAAGCAAATTTTGGAGCACGTGGGTGGCTCAGTCAGTTAAGTGTCTGATTATTGATTTCAGTTCAGGTCATGATTTCACGGTTTGTGGGATTGAGTCCCACGTTGGACTCCACACTGACAGCACAGAGACTGCTTGGGATCTTCTCTCTTGGCCCCTTCCCTGCTCATTCACTCTCTTTCTCTCTCTCAAAGATAAATAAATATTAAAATTAAGTAAATTTCCTCTTCACTTCTGTCAACAGTGGTAATATAAAAATTCTCACTGTTCTTTTTTACATGAAACATAATTATTTTAAAACTTTAGTGGCAGAACTAAACTACATTTTTTTTAAGTTTTATTTAAGTAATCTCTATACCCAACATGGATATAACTCACAACCCTGAGTTTAAGAGTAGCATATTCTTCCAACTGAGCCAGCCAGGAACCCCAGAACTAAACTAAATTTTGTTTGTATAAAAGCAGAGTCTCCTCTTTAAGATTCATAGCATGCCCCTGTATTCATTTATGCAGTTTAGTTGTAGATGGTCCAAGTTAAATATGAGATGTCAGCAAATGCATTATGTTGTGAACTGTCAACTGTAATAACTTTTCACATCACAATATATAGATTTGTTCTGTCTTACAACAGAAACAAAACTTCCAAACTCTTAAGGTTAAGATAAAAATCTTAATCTTACAGTGCCTGCGTGGCTCATTTGGTTAAGCATCTGACTTTGGCTCAGGTCATGGTCTCTAGGCTTGTGAGTTTGAGCCCCGTGTTGGGCTCTCTGCTGTCAGAGCAGAGCCTGCTTTTGGATCCTCTGTCTTCCTCTCTGTCTGTCCCTTCCCCGTGCTTTCTCTCTCTCAAAAATAAACTTGAAAAAAAAAATTTTAATCTTGGGCACCTAGGTGGCTCAGTTGGTTGAACGCCCGACTTCAGCTCAGGTCAGGATCTCATAGTTTGTGAGTTCGAGCCCGCTTCGGGCTCTGTGCTGACAGCTCAGAGCCTAGAGCCTGCTTTAGATTCCGTGTCTCCCTCTCTCTCTGCCCCTCCCCTGCTCACATACTCTTTCTCTCTCAAAAATAAACACTAAAAAAAGTTTTTAAATCTTAATCTTAACTGTACATTATCAAGACATTTACACAATTCCCAAACACCACTGCATGTCATTTGCAAATATTTAGTATCAAAACTATCTACAATTAGAAATATTAAATTTCGGTAAAGCTAAATTATGACAAATCTTTGCGTTTTGTGTAGAACTTTAGTTTATAATGTGTTTTCACATCTATCATCTCACATCATCATCAGATGATAGATCATCTGATAGATCATCAGATCAGAGCTCTGGGTGGCAGCTGTTATTTCCCTAGTGCTGCAGATGAGGAGCCTGAGGCTGAAAGAAGTTAATTAATTTGCCCAAGCTCACAGCTGACGAGTTCCAGGACAGGACGAGAACCTAGGCTTTCTGATTCCAGGTCAAAGGTTATTTGCATGCTGTCTTTAAAATCATCATCCATAGAAGCCTGAATACACAGATCCTAAATTCAAAAATGAAAATCATGAGGGATGTATTTTCAACAAATAAGGGCATTCTCCTACATAACCACATTACAACCATCAAAATCAGGAAAATGGCATTGATACATTACTGCCATTTCATCTCAGACCCCATTCAATGGCATCCTTTTAGCAAAAGGATCCAGTCCAGAATCACACTTTTCGTTTAGATTCATATATCTTTTGTTTCCTTCAGGCTGGAACGGTTTTTCAGTCTTCCCTTGACTTTCATGACCTTGATACTTTTGAAGATCACAAGTCAGATATTTGCCAGAATGTCCCTCAGTTTGATGTTTGATAATGATTGATTTCTCATGATTAGATTTAGGCTAAGTATTTTTGGCAAATATCACGGGAGTGCCCATGCTCTTCTATCTTCACCCGATGCTCCTCTATCTGGTGAAGCACAGTTTGATTTGTCCCATATTGGTGATGTTTACTTCAGTTACCCAAATAAGGTGGTGTCTACCAGGTTTTCCACTGTAAGGTTTCTTTTCTTTTGTAATTACTATTTTGTAGGGAGTGCTACTCTGAGACTGCAAATATCCTCTTCTTCCTCTAACATTTAGTCATTTATTTTTTATGGATTCCTATTTTGTTCGGTGAACTGTAATCATTAATTTTGATGCTCAAATTATCCCAAATTTAGCCAATGAGAGCCCTGGCAAGTTGGCTCCTATCCTTACGACATGTCCTCATCATTTAGAACACTTCCTTACTTTCTGGAGTAAGATGTTCCAGGATCATCTTGTACTCTCTTGGTCACAGCCTTTTCTCCAAGAAGCCCTGGTTCCTTTTAGTGAAGAATGTATTTAGAAACCAAGATTTAGAGCGTAGGCATGATCACTACTAATGGCTTGTCGCTGATCGCAAGTCCTCTCATTGGACAAAATGAAAGTACTTGTGTGCATGTGTGTATGTGTACACACACATTTGGACCCATAATTATTTCTTGATCTGTACTGTGAAAACTACAAGTTCACACCCAGTATTTCCAATTCTAACCCAACCCTGCAAAGTTCTCTCTAGTTTTGTCTGTATTTATAACCCCTTCTAGGACAATGAGAAACATGGTTCCCATTATCCTGAATATATCTACTTATTTGATCAGTGTCCCTGGACATGAAGAATATTCTACTGCTGCTGCTCTCCTTATCCCATTCAAGTTCTGACACCCCATGCTGGGATGCCCCCTGGACAATTGTCCTTCTCACCTTGCTCAGGCTGACAACACTTATTGGGCAGTCACCATTGCCATGCACTCCGTGGATGCCTTCCCTACTACACCTGGGCTCAACCTCTTGCAGGGGCCTCCTCTCTGCACGATTACCCCTCACCCTCATTTGGGCTGACACAAAGTGTAGGCCACTCCTACATAGTTCTTTTCTTCACTATGTTGTAGTGACCCCCAGCTCTGGGCCATGAGAGCTTTTACCTTGCACAGTACCACTTAATGGACTGACTAGTTAGGGAAGGGTTGATCAAAAGGGGAGAGTATCAATTTGCATGAATACTTACAAAATTATAACCTAAGAAAGCCATCATATTTTCTTAAGGGGCAAAGTGAGGAAAGGGATTGGCAGTATAATGGGATGGTCAGAGCTTGGAAAAAGAAATCGTCTTCCAGGTGAGACACTTCAGTGATCAAGTATATTTCTAAAGTTTTTCCCAACCCACAACCTGTTAACTATTCCTATTTCTTCTTTTAGGCTTTATTGTCTTTAACACAATGAACAAGAATCCAGTACATCTGGCCCAAATTCCTCAATTTGCTAGATGCACGAAAATATATCAACTTCATGTCATTCATCTGGCCTATTTTCCTTTCATCATAAGTATGACAGATGTCATATTTTGCCAAAAGCAAAAATCTTTCCTGCACTGGTGGAAAGAATAACCAGATAGGATTGAGAAGATAAGGGCTCAAGTTCTTCACAGCAACTACCAAACTAAGTAACCTTACATAAGTTACTCAACTTCACTGGCCTGATCTCCTCATGGGTTGTCATAATTGATGACAAATATTAATATTTACTGTGTGCTTACTAATATCAGGCATAGCATTATACGCATTGTTTCAAGCAATCCTCACATCAGTCTTATGGAAGACACACTTTTATTATCCCCATTTTACAAGTGAGGAGACTGAAGCTCAGAGAACTTAAACTTGTCCAAGGTTATGCAGCTAATAAATAGTAGACCCTAGACCTCCCAAGTCTCAGCTCTTAAACGTGATACCTTAAAGACAAACCAAAAAAAAAGTTTGTTTTTTTTTTTAAAAGTTTATTGGAGAGAGAGAGAATGTGCAGGAAGGGCAGTGGTGGGGGTGGGGAGGAGATTGCACATGTGCTCGGGAAGGGTAGAGGGAGAGGGAATTCCAAGCAGTGCCTTACGTAGGGCTCGAACTCACAAACTGTGAGATCATGACCTGAGCTGAACTCAAGAGTCAGATGCGATGCTCAGACTGAGTCTCCCAGGTGCCCTGTGCCTTAAAGACATTTTAAATTGCAGGGGTTGTTAGAGGTTAGGTCACTCCAGTTTTAAAATTCTGATTTTAAGAAATGCTTAAGGGATATTAAGATAAATGAAACAAAAACTTTGCATGATAGTAGGCACTAGGCATATAAAGGTGACTTTTGATCTTTGTCCTCACACAACTAACATCCTATCATACACACCACGTGAAGGAAACAGAGGTGTTGCTGAAGTGAAGAGGAGTATTAAGAGAGGCTCTCTGGAGGCAATGCCACTTCAGGTCAGTTTTAAAAATAAGTTAGGTAGAAACATAGGTGGCGTTCTAGGCAAAGCAACCAGTATGTGAGAAGGCCTGGTCAGCATGAAACGGCACTATGTATTTGGTATGATTGGAGTGAGAGTAAACAAGGGGAGGGAGAAGGAAAATAAAAACATCTTGAGTTATTTATGTATTGTTGAAAATTGAGGAGGAACAGCTGTTTATTCACAAAATTAAGCACACTGTTTTGGAACTCATATTTAAAAGAACACATATCTAGTAACAAATTTAAGGAATCTCTTATTCATACTAGCCCAAATAATACATTATCAAATACTGCTGCCCTGTGCGTAAGCCGTTCAGTTAAGCAAATCTATATAGACTCTTCCTGTAGAAATGACTAAGATTAACCAGGATGGGCAACAGTTCCTCTGATTCATATATTAGAAATTTCTTACAAAAGTGTTTACTGTGAGATGTATT